CGCCCCGAGGGACCTGGCCAGCGTCCCGCGGCTGCCGCGGCGGGCAGGGAGCGGAGCGACGGCTCCCAGCCGCTGATCTAGTCTCGGTGCTTTTCATTTCAGTACATTTTTTTAGTCGTTATTTTTTATCTTTACACAAAGAGCGCCCTTCTCACAGAAAAAGCATCCCAGGACGCTGTCACCGCCTCTGCCCATCCCTGTACCTGAGCCCTGGCTCCGCTCCTCCGCGGGCACTTTTCTCCGTGGCTCCCCGGAGGACTGGACTCTGGACCCGGTGTCGCTCTGCCAGGCTTTGGGGACGGGTTTGGTCCCGCAGCCGTCCGCTGCTGGAGGAGGCAACACGGGAGAGTGGCCTGGCAGGTGCCTGGGAGGCTGGGATATCCCTGCTCTGCCCGGCCGCCTCCCAAAAGCGCGATTCCCGGCACCGGGAAGTCCCGGTCGCAGCTGGAGAACAAAGTACGGCCGGGGCGATCGGCGGGGAGAATGAGCAGGGCAACGTTTTGTTGTGCGTCGGGTTTCACAGAACCGAAAGCCGGTCCTCTTCCCCTGCAGGCGAGCGGATATATGAAACACGTCCTTGCTCTCCTACCTGCATCCCCTCTGGTTCTCTTAATGAAAGGATACAGCAGCAGACAGTGTCCCGAGGTATTTTCATATAATCCCCGCTGAAGACTTAGTAAGATTCTCTGTACTGCAAAATGCCATTTGCATTGTGGAAGTACAGTTGTGGTGAAAAGGAGATTTTGGGCCATCTGTGTTTCACAGGAGTCCCGTGGTGCTAACCTTGCACTGGGAACAGCAGGGATGGACCAAAGGATAGTGAATAGTCCCCACACCTCTGCTCTCTAGGTTTTCCTGGATACAAGATGCTACCTTTCTACACCACAAACAAGGACAGCAGTTACTGGGAGACCGCCTCAGGAACCCATCACCTATGCATAGGCTGCTGGGGGGATCAAATTCCATCACAGCAGCCTCCAGGGAGGTCTCAGAAAAGGCTGATTTCCTTAGCTGGTTCTTGCAAAAGCTGCACCATTCTGCACACTTTTGGATGGCAATACAGGATGCCAAAAACACTGTGCCACAGTCACACATCCGATTTTCCCTTACTCCAGTGCATCCTGTGATTTTCACTCTCCGAGCTGATTTGGAACGTGAGCAGGTTTTTAGCAGAAAACCAGATAGAGATATAGGAAATACACAGCTAATTGATGACATATCTCCACTGAACAGCCTCGTTTAAACTCATAACGATGTAGTCCATGCTGCCACCTACATCTTCTGATTCAGGTTTCTTGTGTACTGCAACTTTGATTCGTAGGCATCTTTCGCAGAAGGCAGCTCACATTTTGTGAGGCTCCACGAGGGACCACAGGCAGCTCTGGCTGCACTAGGGAATGAAGCAAAGGGTTTCTCACCAGCTCAGCCACTTGTTTGGTTGCAGTGAGGATGCCTAGACGCAGATTAGGAACCAGCAGTGAAATGTAAGTAGCGGCTGGAGCCTTGTCTGTGTGAAGGATTCTGCCAGCACAGCTGACCGCTGACAGCAGTGGAATATTTTGCTCTAGTTCTCTAGAGAAATCAAAGTCCATATTTTGTTTCTTGCTCTCTCTTCATCTGTTGCTTCTCTCTCATTAAAAGTCAGCCACACAAAGCACATGGTTGCTCTCTGTGTTTTAAAAAAATTATGTTTGGGGTAAAAGACCAACAGCCAAAGCTGTTTTGAAGTCAGAGGCACATAAACAATACCTGGAACTAAGTATAATAATAATAATAATAGTAATAATAATAATAATAATCCTTTTGTTTCATAAATATGCACATTGCTATTCTATTTCATTTTGACACAGCACAACTTCTGAGAATGTGCCTGATGAATATTTGGGGGAGCTCTGCCTTCAGCTGCAGTGGCGTATGGCAGCACTAATGCTTCTGGCTTCTCCACTCTCTTATGTAACCAAAATCACAAGTTAGAGCCCAAATTACAAAGCATAAGCATGTGTATAATATTAAGCATACAAATGGTGCCTGAAATTACTATCCTTTTCATGTAGGTCTGTTTTTAATCTGTTAGAATTTTTGCTTCTGCAGCTTTATTGATTTCAGTGTCCGCTGATGCAGTTCATAACGCAATCAAGCCTAAACCCTTGAAAACCCCGCTGTGAAGACAGTAACCCAAACTTAACTAAGGCCAAAATAACTCTGGCTACAGGTAGGGAAAGTTCAAATGACTTTTATACCTCGAGTGTATCCTGTATCAAGATGCTATAGCAAGCAGAACACCATATCCCCCTGGCTGCCTTGGCAACCAGTCAGAGTGGAAGATTTTTGCACCCCAGCCCAAGGCATGGGTTTATCATCACCTTCCTTTGAGTTTTCCCTCTTTCTCAGAGACTATTTTTGGCCATTACCATGCTGATCTTGCTGGAGTTTTAAGGTGTTGGATGCTGATGCAGCGAGTGGCTCTTGTATCTGTTTAATCCGATAACATAACTCTTTTTTAATCTCCATGTCTGGGTCACAGGGTTTAAAAAAGACACTGGGCCAAATCCCCAGCTTGGCTACAACGTGTGGAAATCTACTGAGATGGCACGAAAGTCAGGAGAGATTCACTGTATTTGCACCCGGGTAAAGAGGTCTCAAGGGGCAGGGATGTGAGAGCCAGATTTCAGATGGATGAAAGGGTATGGAAGAGCTAATTCAGATTTCCGTAAGGTGAGGTGGTGGGAGGGATATTACACCAGGACTTAAAATATGCTCATCAGCAAATTCTCATTAACTTTTAAATGGTAACCAATTCAATATTTCTTCATTTTTCAGGAGAAACCTTTTTTTCATTGTTTGGCTGTTAGAGGAAACACGATGTTTCATGGACGCAGGACCAAAATGGAAAAAGAGAAGATTTTGCAGGGATTGGGAAGATTTTACAAATAAACATTAAAATTAAAAAAACCCCCAACAAGTTCATCCAGGTACGAAGTCCAGCAGAAAAGTAGGAGAGAAATGGACTTCACTGTCTATAAAGGATTGTGTAAGCAAGAATGGCAAAAAGAAGGTCTGAATAAGTCCATTGCATTAATGATTTTCTATACATGACTTTCCTATACAAAGTTACATGGGGTCAGTCTTTGGAGTTCCCCTGTACAGCAGAGGATCCTGAGCCTGAAAAAGGGAAGCAGATTTTGTAACAGATTTGCATATCATGGAGTGACTCTGGATTGCAGATTTTAAGCATTACTAGATTGGAGAATAAATTGTTGCTATTGCTGTTACATACCAGGATATGTACCTGATCCACACAATCCACTAAGCTACTGTAGTTTTAGTCCGTGTTTATTTTAGATAAAATTATAGCCTGGACAGTTAATTTTTCTTAGTCTGTCCATATAAATCATATACAAATAAAGTATCAAGCGGAAATCAAAATATGACCTGTGTTTTTGAAACACTTCCCATCATGTGAGCCTGCCAGTGATAGAGCCCTACACCTGGTTTACAAGTCGAACATAAAGGCAATGAAAAACCACAGGTCTTCTTGAAAAGTACCCAGTTAAATTCTCTTGCTTTAATTCTCTGGGTGGCATATTTTGCTTATATTTGAGACTGCCTAGCCATTATGGGATTGCCTGCACCAGTCCTTTCCTTACATCAAGCTAATTGCAAATTAACTTGAGGCACTTAGCAAGACTGAGAGGCTGGAGCTGGTTCTTGCTGAGCACCGGCTGAGTTCGGAAATGCCTGTTGCTTTACAGGGGCTGATTCCTAAAGTGAGGGGCAAACTGAGGAACCAACCAGCCTGGAACCAAAGTGGTCACACTGGCTTTTGAAAAAAGTGAATGTCTCAAATTAACTGACAGTCAGCTACCTGGAAATAAAAACCTCTCATATATCCAAAGGTTTTCATTAGGATTTTCAAGATCTCCTGAGCAATTTAAAATCTTTGTGAGGAATGCACTATAGAATGAAAAATATAAGTATTATGAAAGAATGTCTCTGAACTGAAAGCCTGCCAGTTTCATAAAAATGAGCTAAAAAAGCAATAACAGGTACTCGGTCTCCTGCTGGATGCTATATGAACTGTATATTTTGTATTTTGAAAGTAACTCTAAAACAATGTTTTTTTCTTCACTATTGCTGTTGGGAAGAACTGTAGAAGAACTATGTATAAATGAGATTAAAGTAATCTAATTTAAAAAAATAAACAATGTGCTTTCATCTTCAATTCATATACAGTCCTTTGGGATCTAACTTTAAAAAAAAATAGATAAAAATTCAGAAATTCAGAAAGGATTTTGAAAGACAACTGTTTCCCTTTAAGATTAATGATAATCATACTTGTGTGTTCAAGAGAGAATAGATCCAGTGTTATGTAACAGGATAAAGAAAGAAAATCCTTTTTCCTCAAATTAAAATAACCAGTATGTGTGTGAATTTTAGTCAATCATTGAAAATTCAGGAAACCCATTTCCTTTCACAGTTGCATTCCACATGCTAAAATTAATGTCTTCTGACTTTTAAACAGAATCGCAGTAATTAAAGACCTAAAAGAATTGTTTGTTGCATTTGACCACACTTTGCCAATAGAGGATTGTTCCCTAGGGAAAAATCTGTGGTACTTGCCCTGTGCAAAATCCAAATATGTGCTCATCTTTTTATTTTATATGGCATTAGCAAATCCAGTTATTGCACTTCCCAGTTGTTGTTTGTTTTGTTGTTTTTTTTTCTTTTTAATCTGATTATTAGTACTAGATATATGGTAACTTATCTCTTTTAATCATTTTTTTTGCCTGAACTAACTATTACATAACAGTTCTTACAAAATCTTGCCTGCCTGAATTTGCCAAAAACAGGACAAGATCAACAGGTAATGGATTTTTTTTGATGTTGGCATTGTTCTTTGCTGGCTCAATCATATAAAATTTATTAAAAAAACAAATAAACAAACAAAAAAATTTCCTACCATAGAACCTCCATTTTCCACTTCTGTATTTTACAGAAGCACTCATGCCAGAATTTCTGCATCAGAATTTGACACATGAAGTTCCTCTATCACATGAGTTCAATTTTCCAAAAGAAGGCAAATGGTAGTAATAATAACCAAGATATAAACCCTGAAAAGGCTGTGTTGCTGAATATGCTTGCTAAAAAAAAAAAATAAAAAAAAAAGATGTCTTGTTGGATCTAATTCTGGAGTCATTGTCTGACACAATGCAGAGCTGCTGGGATTTGCATAGAAAAGCTTTGCTGAGCTCAGGTGATGTTCACTCAGGCATGGGAGAAGATTTGCTGAGCGACTCCGAGCTTTGTCTGCAAAACAAAGTAAATACTGCAGATGTTGGCCTGGCCTTGCACATGTCCACACTCAATGTTTTCAGTCCTCAAAGCAAAGCTTCACATCTGGGCAGTTTAAGTGATGTTCCCTCACTGAACCAAGTCCTCTGTTAGCACTGCTCCAGTAGCACAAGGTGTGCTTGCTGATGATGCACATGGTGAATGTGCCTCTTTTCCTGCTGGTAACACACCTGCCACACTGCAGCTGAATATCCTGCTGCTGCATGGCCTGCAGAGATTTCCTGGGCTTCACAAGCACAACAGGTCCTGCCAAGTCAGGGTAGTTACATGGGTGCAGCTAAGGTAATATGGAATCTGGGAAGCCACAGGAGATGCAAATTGGGAGACAGGGAAGAAGATGTGGCAAATCCACTCTGAAAGCAATAAAAGGTCAACAGAGTCTGAGGCTGCCTGCAGAACCATTTCAGTTTGGATCTGATTATTGAGCTGGGCAGGCTTGGCCTAACCACATCCCAGGTGACAATAGACATCAAAGTGGAAAATAGTCCCAAAACGTAGAGTGGAGAGCTTGCTGGGGCAGTTGAGCCTTTGTGACTTACACAATGGCTCCAGAAAAGCTGGTGGATTAAACTCACCACAGAAGAATAGTGATCACTTGAGTGAATTCATACATGCTCATTTCTTTCTATTTGCTTATGGGTCCCTCTGCTCCCTTCCCTCTCAAAGTGGTGGTGAAACAGTTATGAAGAGTGTATAATTTTCGATTACTTCATTTATTCTGACAAATTACATTGGTATATATAGGCAAACACTGGGAGAAAATACTGTAAGAAACAAAACCATTCCCAAATGCATACTTGTACAAGTTCAGGCAGATAGAATTTCTAGCTAGGTGAATTGATGCAGTGCAAGCAGAGAAAGGGTTTCAACTGCCTGAGTGTCTAGAAAAAAGAAGAAATTTAAAATGAGCCCTGCAAACTATCCAGCAACTGCTCATCCAGTATCATGATTTTAATTAACAGAACTGGAAAGCAAGCATATAATATAAACTTAAAAACAGGGCTCTTCGGTTTTCCAGACTACCAGTCCAAATGCAAAACAAATTGCTTGCATCTGGTGACAGGGAGGCAGGGCTGGCAGCGGGAGCAGCGGCGAGGGGAGCAGCAGCATCCACCCAGCACGTCCCTGCCCGCCGTCCCCTGGCACAGCCAGGCCACAAACACTTGAAGCATCGCCTGCGTGCTCCGAGGAAATGCCTGGGCTTCCACCTCTGCTGGCAGCACGTCAGGCAGCAGTGTCACTGAGGGGATGCCAGCGGCTCCCAGGCGTGGGTGACCTTGAGCTTCCCCAAGCAGTTACCTTTTCTGGACCTTTGGCACGCTCCCAAGTGATCTTTCAGCCAGAATCTCCGTGGCCTAAAATAAATTCAGCAATATTCACTGCGGCATCCCTGCACTTCTCTTTTGGGATACCTGACGCTTATGTCCCAACCTGGGCAGAGACTGGTTTTGGAAAGTTTATCTGGGTGCAGCAACAGCACCGACCCAGCAGTGCATCCCTGCAGAGAGCCATTTCTGTCTGTCTCTCCTAGCCAGAGCAATCCTGCTTTGTTGTCTGTACATGAGAAGGTGGGGAAAGGGGAGAGGGTGGAATAGGCTCAGCACGAAGCACAAACTATCCAGACTTGGGCCTCTAAATTTCTTTGGCCAATTTAGTCAGCTCTGATTTGTATCAAAGCCCAATATTATCACATAGTGATCATTAAATGTGCCAAAAATGGTTAATATTTTGTAAACAGTTGGTCACAGGCTGCCTGTAGCGCTGAGCAATTGTCCCTTACTCTCTGTGTCAGCCAGAGTCCTCAAGTTTTCTCATTTTTATTTCTGCAAGTTTGTCTGTTGGGCTCATGAAATTTGGCTCCTGGGAGAGAAGTGTGAAAACTTGCCCCTATAACCCCACATTTCCTTGGGAAGCACGTCCCAGCAAACTGTGGAGCAGCCAAAGTGGATTTGGGATGCCCTTGGCACTCACAAAGATACCCTTGGTCCCTGTTGCCCCATAGCAAGTGCTGCTGGAGGCCATGGGTGTCATGGAGGAGCTGCACGGCCAGGCTGGGCTGTGGCAGTGACCAGGCATCATCCTGAGCAGCAGGGCCTGGGACTGCCAGGCAGCAGAGCTGAGTAAGTCACGCAGCAGAGGCACACAGTGGAGGGTGTGCTGGACCCCTGAGAGCTTTTCCATCCAGTGCCTCTGGAGGTCCTGAGAAACCATGTGGAGAGGGGTACGGCATCTGTCAGGCACATCCCCTGGCCTGCTGCAGCTCAGGACACAGGTTCCATCTCCAGCCAGAGCAGAGGATGCTGCCACATGCCCACTCCACCTGGCTTCAACTCAGGTTTCCCCTCAAGCTGAATTCCGCCCCAGAAGTCTTTGTATGTGTCACTGCCTGAATTTTGCTTCCCTGCTGGGAGACTAAGCTCCCAGTTCTCCCAGTAAGATACAGGTTTAAATACAGGTCACATTTCTGCTGGTCTCCACCAGCAAAACAGCTGTTTGCTCTAAACATGGAGATATTTTTGTAAGAGCAAAAGCATGAATTATTTCAAACTTGCCTCAGGATGAATTTTCAAGGGTACTGCGGAGACTGTTTCCACAACAAAACGGGAGCTCTTCTACTGAATTGTTCATGTTACTTTCATGAATGCTAGAAAAGAGGCAGGCTTTTTTTAAATGTCAGCATATACCTGGAATGGGAATTTGTTTCCATAAATCCTTTGGAAACTATTGTTGTTGATGTTGTCTAATCTGACCAAAAGTTTGATTTGGCAATTTTTATTAAGCCTTGCTGTTAGGTATAGACAATTAGCTTAACAAAATATCAGATAAGATCTCTGTTGTGTTTGCAATGCCTGTTACTCTGATCCTTACCTGGTGGGAAATGGCTTTGGAGGAGCACAGCCACATCTTTGTAGCTGTTTACATCACATTTCTGACAGAGCTCCACCCTGCTTTCCCCATTTGTACTTTGTTTTTCATGAATAAAGGTCATGGCATTGGCATCACAAAAAAATATTGTTGCTGTAGAAGGAATTCAGCTGTCCCCTCTGGGTAATAAACAATAATGTACTCCAAGGCTGGCAGGGCAGCAATCAGAGATGGAAGAGAAGGCCAAGACCCATTGAGATGTCTGCAGACCTCCAGCATCTCACAAGTGAGCTGTCTCCCTGCCTGTGCTGGGTGGCTGCAGGCTCTGCATAGTGTCTAATATTTTGCCCAACCTAGATTTAGGCACCCCCCAGCTGCTGGCAGTGGGTCTGTTGTGGGTACCTGCTTCCCAGCCAGTCGCACTACTGGGATTTGTTGTCTAGTCCAAGGGCATTTTCTCTGCAGCAGTGTCATACATTAGCCCAACACTCCCTGTGTGTGTTGGTGGCCTGGGGACATGGTTACCAGATGTAGTTGCCAACCACTGGTTGTCCCTGCTCTGGAGTGCTCTCCAAGGAGCTGCTGTGGCCAGGGCACACTGTTTAGTCTGCTGGTTGTGTGGGACTCTGACCTGGCTGTAGCCCAGCTGCAATACATAATTTTAACCATGTTGTATCCAGATCAGGGAATAAATGTATAGGAACTACATCCCTTGGTTCAGCTATAAAGTAAATGAGATCTCTCCCATGTATTAACATTCACATTGACCTTTGTGTTTGCGCTCATGTCAAAATCACCACTTGTCTTTTGGCTCAAAAGCCATCCTTCTAATCTTTTGTTATGTGTGAGGCTCAAAAAGCTGTCTGGTGCTTTTTCCTTCTTTCAAGCTGCCAGTACTTTCCAGCAAGGTGAAATTTTAAACAACTGCAATATTCCAGGAGTAATTTCATCACCAGTGCTTGTAGAAACACTCCTTTCATCTTATGGTCCATGGTTTTATGATTCTCTG